AGTGGCAGAAACCTTTTTTGCTGTAACATAATAAACATAGTTCATCAGTATTAGTGCTTGTCTCTATTCCGTAAGCAAACACCTGGTTTTCTGTTAGAACATGGTTTAAATTGTTGTAGGTGAGTTGAGGCGTCGAAATATTTCAGTTAAGATAAAAGATTTCAGCAATCCAGAGAAACATCAAAACAGGCACATTATTTTGTTTTTCCCAATTTCCCAAGGTAATGCATTTCCTGACTTGGGCCTGAAAGAAGCAGAATTTTCACAAACCAAAAACTTTCAGCTGTGATTTCCCCACCCCCTGCAACACTCCACATCTGTATTTTGAAATAGTGATTTGTCTTTTTTAAGGAATGACTACTGAAACTGCTTTGTATGTTGCTCTTTTTAAATCCTTTGATCTATAGTTTTCTAGATGCAGCAACTGAGACAAAGAGAAGGTAAATGATCATCTGGCAGACAAACAGTAGACTCCAGCTCCCCTGATTACTTGGCTGCTCCCATCTGCTGGCTGACATTCCCTCCTTTACTGCAGGAAACATGGTCAGTGACTAATAAGTGTTTATTGATCTCTGCTTGAGATACTTGCTGAGAGATGTAGATATCAATGAATATTTGATCTGAATTAATGCTAAGAAGAAAAGTTTTTTCTTTACTGCCTCATTTATATAGGATATTCATGCCTGCATGATAAATATGCCATCTGCCTCTACAATCTGATGAGAAGGGTGTGCAGCCAGGTAAACTCTAAAGAATTATTATGCTCTTAATAATACTTCTTCTTAGCCAAAAGTTACTAGTGTAGTTGCTGCTTTGAGGGGTAAGTCAAAATATTACTGATTCTCTGCAGCTGTACTTATAAGTAGAATATAGGTCTAATTCAAAGCCCTTTGCAACTAGTTAAAGGGGCTTCTGATTGATTCTAGGAGGCTTTAGATTGTTTTCTAAACCATACCTGGTTCGTACCCCATCTTTCGTTTCTCCTTTTGTATTCCCCTTTTTATTTTGTGCCCTTTCATCCTCCACATCTGCTCCGGGGGGGGAAGGGGCTAAGACACTGCTCCTTAACAGGTGACACTGGGGATCTTGTATTTTTCCATCTCTTTTTGCTCCTCCCAGTTCTTAAGAGAAGTCAATAGACTTGGGCCCTGCACTGTGAAAATGAATGTCACATCTTTTTTTAATGTTGATTCTGCATTGTGAAATTAGAGCAAAGAGTCCTTGGTCCAACTTGGTTCATTCCATCCCTTCTCCTCATTTTCCTGCCCCTCTCATGTTTGCTCTTTGCCAGGAGGGGACTGTTGGACCAGGGACATTGGGGATGCTGAGTTGCAGGATGAGTTGGCGGGCTACCTGAACATTTGGATATTAGTGAGTCAGTGTGTCTGCTCTCATCTCTGAGGTTTCTTCCTGATTGCTATTTGCTGGAGTAAATCTCCCAGTGCCTTTGACTTCTGCATAGCAAAAAGAAAACATTATTGAGTCACTACTACTGTATCCATGTTACAGTCAGGGAGATGAACGCAGGGCTTGCAAAAGATTTTGCAGAGGCTGTAAAGGTACCAGTTAATGATAAAGCATGTAAGCCATAACCATTAAACACAGTCTTGTGCTATGTCCTAGTTCAAAGAAAAAGACTCACCAGGCTTGTGTAGGAATCAGCTAGGCCTGAACATTAGTATTTACCTGTGCAAGTTGAAAAGTTTCTGGGCAGCAGTAAGAATTTGTGTATGAACTTTTACGTTTGTAGGTAACTGATTTACTCCAATACAATTTCTGTTCTTACATCAGAAAAGCAATTTGAGTGCTCCTAATGGCTTTTAAAATTGAATTGTGATGATGAGTCAGAAGAAAGTATAGCTGAAGACTGAACAAAGTCACAGTTTGTGTGTTACTGCCTGAATCATAATTGTTGACATCTGTAGACATACATTCAAACCTTTATGGAACAATGCTTTTCAAAAAGTTTCTTCAAAATCAAGGCTACCAGGACCAGGGAAAGTACTGTAGATAGATGCTTACTTTTATTAAACCAGCAGAAACGAAGGGGAATATTTACTGAAAACTGCAAGTGCTTCATAATTCCAACTGCTCTCAAAGAAAGAAAAAATAATTAAAATAATCCCCAAACCAGAGCTCTGCTGAGGGACCTTAAAGAGAATAACTTGAGAGAAGAACGTGTTGGATTCCTTCCAAGTGATATGCATAGAAAGATGTAAATACTTTGGCTCATCTTTAATGAACTCCGGAGATAAATACATTGTTACTAACAAACAGATTTGACATCATGCAGATGGATTTAAAGTGCACAGTGATTACTCCAGTTTACTTATTTAATAAATTATATTGAAGAGGTGTTGAGAAAGTAAAACACACATTTGCCTAATATTTTAGTTGGTAAAATTCTCGCTGGCACAATATCACATTAAGCCTAACATTTTGTTTAAAATGAAAAACAACGTAGCATATGTATCTCAGTTTCTTTTGTGATTTTCTTTAAATCACTCATTAATTTCACTGCAGTCTTACTAGTTCTGTGAAAGACTTAATTTGAGCACTGGGTGGAGGTGCCAAAAATGTGCTGGGTTCAGCTTAAACCATGACATAAAGCTAGTTTCTAGTCAGGAACTGGAATTTTTTTTTAATTTTTGTTGGAAATATTACCAAATTTCTGTATTTTAGTTTTATAATTGTATGAATAGACAGTATTTCAAAACTTTTCACCAAATACTATTTTGGGGATAAATGTTTTGCCTGGATGGAATTTATTTATTTATTTCTGACTTGTTCCGTTTCAATTTCACATTAACTTTCTGTACCAGTGAGGTCAAGATAGAACACTCTGGGCCTTTCCTATTGTGCCTGTTCTTTTATTTTCAGAAAAAAATACGTTGGGTACAGCATGTTCTATCAAAGCACTTCAAATCGCCTTTATTTACATCACCGTATTTGCTTCTCTTCTGATTTTAAGGCTTCTAACCCAGAAGCTGCCACCACAGCACACTGTATGCCTCCTGCCTGTTACCGCCTACTCTGCAGGCTCCTTCCTGGCTCTGGAGCTGAGGCCATGGGACAGGAGAGGTGGGATGGGCTGCAATGTGCCCGTTAAGGCAGCCCCTCCTGGGGCACAGCAGGAGTTGTTGCAGCAGCTGAAGCGTGCCATAGGCCACGAACTGCCTGGAAGTCATGTCCTGTACAGGCCTGCAGCCTTGCCGGGGCTCCTTCAAAATGACAACAGGTCCAACTCCTAAACTTGGAATTGTTTGCTGTTTGTTCCTTGCTCAAGCAACAACAGGGATATGCTCTCAAGTTTATTTAGGAGTGAAGAGAACCTGAGGAGGCAGTCTGGAAATACCTTTACTTACACAGCAGAGCACCATCAAACTTGGTGCCAGTGATCCGTGCCTGCACCCTAGAATCTGTTATTCTGACATGTACACGTGGGGTTACAGAAATGTTTGTCACCCAATGAAGAAAACAAAGCAGGTATTACTTTATAAACCTCGGTTGCAAGTGAGGAGTTTGCTGTACCCATACGCCAACATTTTTCCATCCCTGCTTTGGAGGAATGCTCTAACGCAAAGTTGCACCCTGAAACAGATTCGATGTCTTTACTTCTGAATGATTTCTCTCAGAAGCAGAAGAAAATTTTTGCCCCAGGAATGGTGTGTGCCTGTGCAAACTCTCTGGGCTTTATGTTCTTCAACCACTTCCCTTCTAGCAACAAAGCAGATTTTGCAGTTTTTCTCCCTTTGGTTACAAACGGTTTGGCACAATGAATATGAAACTGGATTAGGTATTTGACAGAATATGCCCTTTTTTACTGAGGCATTTCATTTACCAGTTCACATACATTTTCCTAGAAAGTTAATTGTAAATACTGATGTATATCTGTGTTATGTTTAACTCTGCTCTTAGTGCAAAATGTCAATTTACAGATCTTTCCTTGCTTCAAACTGTGACGCTTTAGGATCAATACCCAGAATAAGGATATCTCCTGTACTAGCAGGAGCTACCTGTGCCTGAATTTAATTGCTATTTGCAAGTACTGCAAATAAGATTTCTAGGAACACACTGGGAAGATGTTCTCTTTCAATATGTTGTAGCTATAGTACTGGTTTATGGTTTGCTCACCCTCTATCAGAGAACAATCATGTTTTGGAACATTACACCCCTGAGGCAGGCTGCCATCAGGAATGGGGCTGCAGTATGGGCCTGGGGTCTCTGTCCTTGCAGCCATGGATACAATGCACAGACCTTCAGGTAAAGTCTTGCAGCTGTTCTACAGTTAAACCTTGTATCCTTGTGTTATCATTTCTATTTCTTTTTTCTATAATCAAGTGGAGTCAGACATTCTGGGGGGTACTTGCAGCTGTGTTACAACTGCGTAAGAATCTGCGCTAGACCTGGAAGGCCATTCTCTCGCTGCTACAGAAGCCTTGAGTCAAGGGTGTGTTTTCATCCTTCCTTGCTCCTTGTCTGCAGGACACAAGCCATGAGGTTAAACTGCCTTTGTACTGCTTTAGTGTTTTGACCAAAAGATCTGGATCAAGGTTTGGGGTCAGGAAAGCTTTATGCAGGGTAGCTGGTAGAGCTGGGCAGCACCTATGACTGGCTAACCAAGTCTGGATCATTAGTGGGTGTCTTGGAATCAATATCCAGTGACTCTGAGGGCTCAAAGAGGTTTCTGTGGATCAGGCTCCTGTGTTTTAAAGTCCTGCTCTGGACAGCGTGTTAGACAAATCTTTTTTTCCGCCACCAACCTGACGCACCAAGGCAGCGGTGCTGAGCAATGAAGTGCGCTGCCAAAAAAACAGGGACAGAAAACTGGTGCGTAAAGCGGAAGTTGCTCACCTCGACCCTACCAGGGAATCGGGCAGAGACCGGCCCGGGCACGCGAGCACCGGCCCCGCTGGGAGGGTGTGCGGGGAGGGGGGTGTGAGGGGGGAGCAGCAGGCGGGGCGGGGCGGGGCCCGGCCGCCCCTCCCGCGGAGCGGGGCCAGAGCGGCTCGGGCTGCTCCGGCACTCGGCCCCGCGTTGCGCTCCTGCCCCGGCCGGGAGTGCCCTGTTGCACTAGCCCCGGGGCGGCCGCCCCGTCCCGGCAGCCGCGGGGGGCTCTGCGGCTGCGGTGAGCGGCTCTCCCAATCCCGGTCCCCGCCTTTGTCGGCGGCGCGGACAGCGGCTGTCCGTCCGTCCGCGCCGGGCGCGTGGTTCCTTTGTGTACAGCAGCTGCTCCTGAATGCGGAGGCAAAGCCCGTGGCTTGCCACGGAGCTTTTTAAAAATCAACAGCGCTCTTTTGCCTCCTCTCTTGCCTTCCCTTCTTCCCCCTCCCGCCGAGGCGGACGGGCACCCACCTGGGCTCTGCCCCGCGTCTCACCTCTCCTATCCTCTCCTTGTTTACCTGCACTTTTCAGCCGCCTCTTCCCCGTCGCCCCCCCGACCCTCTCTCATCCCGCTCCTCGGGAAGGTTCAGCGATACGCAGCTCCGGTCCCTCGGCGGTTTGCCCGCGCCCCAGCCCCGGAGAAGGCACCTGAAGGTGGATCTATTAAAGCTTCCCGGCTATCTCTCCAAGTGCACTTCTTGGACCAAAGCACCGGCATGGATGTAAGATTTTACCCGGCTGCGGGGGGCAGCTCTCTTCCCGGAGACCCCTCCAACCTGGACTTTGCCCAGTGTTTGGGTTACTACAACTACAACAAGGTGATTACTCCCGCGCGTGTTAATTCCTCCTGCTGCTGCCGGGCCGGTTCCCAGGAGCCGCACCTCGGGCTTCGTCGGGGCGGGGAGGCTCGGGGCTGGGGTTGCCGCAAAGCCGGGGCAGCGGGGTCTGCCCGGCGGCCTCCGGTCCCGGAAAGTTGGGGGCAGCGAGTACTCGCGTGAGACGGGAGCAGCGGGGCCGGAGCTGTCAGGCCCGGCCCCTGGGGAGCCACCCCGCAGGCCGCTGCCTCGGCCCGGCGCTTCGGCTAAGCCCGAACCCCGAACAGCCCCGCGAGTGACTCTGCCCCGCGGCCGGGAAACAAAAGGCAGCGGGTCTTCGCTGCGTGTCTTCGCTGCGGGCAGCCGTGCGCGGCTCCAGCCGGGATCGGCACAACTTTTCCCCGCGTTAGAGCCGGTGCGGCCCCTGGGCGGGTCGGGACGAGCTCTGGGGGGGCTACGGTGGCCCTGCTGGGGCGGGAAGAAGGGAAGGGACCCCTCCCTCCGCTCCGCTCTTTGGGGTGATCCCGGCTCTGTTACGGCCAATCTCTAGCTAAAGGATTATACCAAACAGGAGGGTTAATGAGAAATACATCAGTGGCTAGCGCGGGAGGTAGCAAACGGTTTGGTGTTGAGATGATTGTCAGAGAAGTTACAGTGCCACTTCTACCTATTCGCACCTTCTCTGCGGCAGGAGTATTTCACGGAGTGAGCGTTACAGTCAGAAGCGATAGTCGTTTCCCAGGGGCTACTTGCATTTACAGAAATATGTTTTAACGATGCGGGGATGATTTGTTTCACAAATCACCCAAATCTGGGAAAGGCAAAGTTCAGAATGACACTGTGACTCACGCTATTTTGAAAAAGACTTAGCTGTTTGCACTGGGATGTGTCAATGGCACATTGAGGTATTAGCATTGGGCCCTCACACAGGCACATAAAGATCCCTTTCACACTGTGTTTTTCCTGGTGCTCTGTTTGTCCAACCTCTGGGGCCTTTTGTGAGGCACTCTTGCAAGATGCTGGGGAAAAGAAGGGTGCAGCACGAAGTCTTAACTTCTCTTAAAATCTGCTTTCTGAGAATCCTTTCTGAAAGAGTAGCTTAAGTTTGATGAAACACGAGGTTCACTTTGAGAGAGAAATAACATGTTCAAAAAATGAAGAGACTCAGTAGCTGAAAAAAACTTTCTCCCAGAGAAATGGCTTCTGAATGGACATCATGGGCTTACTCCTCTGTAGCTCTTTCCGACCACGTCCACCATGGCTGATGAGAAGTTCAAGTGAGTCAGTTTGTCAGGTTTGGGGGCTGCCTCTGTGTTGGAAGGCACAGACCCCCTTCCACTCGAAACACAGCAGCACTGAGCGCACGGCCCTGCCTTGCGCATGCTCTCTGTGTGCAGGCTGTTAGCATGCTGCTTTGTTAGTAGTTAATATAGAAAGACACAGGAGGATGAATTAAAGATGAAATGTCAACCTTAACTTAGAATGCTGCTAAGGACTTAGATCTAAAATCCATAGTAAATGCTTACTGTTCTCTAATATGCCAACTAATTTGGGAAACATGCAGCACTGACTGGGAAGGAACATGCTTACTGTAAATTTCACTTATTCAGTGACTTTATTGTGTTATGCATGGCAGGCATTTTTTCAGGCTCTGTTACAGGTTACTGTATGGGCTCTTTTTTAAATTCATTTTTATGTCCAAAACCTTGAACGTCTTCTGGAAGCCGGTAGTTTGTGTCCCTTAACTTGCTGCAAATGCAGAGTTACATGTAACCTTTTGACTGTATTTCCCTTCATCATACAATGAGAACAGAGCACGTATTCAGAAGTCCAAAGTAACTAACTTTTGACCTATTCAAAAACACATTTCAGTTGCTGTACTTCTGAACGTAATTTTGGCAAGTCACTTATAGGTCAGACTTCCAATCTGCAGCAGAAAATATTTTAATTAACAGAATACAGCAGAAATCTGCAGCAGAAAATATTTTAATTAACAGAATACAGCTCATGATGCATGTGTCCTATAATAGACATTTTTGTATGCATAAGGCGTGATTGGGAGCAGGCTTACACAGGCGAGGTTGGATTGCTGCTGCTGTGAGCTCTTCCTTGTCTCCACGAGGAAAGCAGCAACGTGGTATACAGGTGTTTCAAGGACAGAAGAGGAATTTGTGAATGAGTTCCTAGAAAGAAGGATCTTACCTGCATTAATCTAATCTCATTTTCTGCACTGTTTATGATCTGTAACTACAGGAATCATTATAAACTGTTGGGGTTATTTTTTTCCAATCTGAAAAAAAAAAGAGTATATTTTGAAATCTTCCCTCCCTCCCTCCCTCACTTCCCATCCATTCCATCCTTTTGCCTGTGTTCCCAAGGAAAATAAATGATTACTCTGTTAGACACTGAGATGACAAGAAGGCATAGAAAAAAAAGGAGTTGAAATATTTACTCCGCTGAAGTAAATGGAAGAACTGTTATTGATTTCACTGGGGACAGTATTTCACTTCAAGTCTTTCTGAAACTCATTTGAGTTTCAGAACCCGCTCGTCCGTGCCTGCTTCATTGTTAGGAGCTGAATCCATATTCTCCTTGTGACTGTGACATTGCCAGTGACAACTGCTGAGAAGCAGGAAGTGTGATAGCAAGAGTAAACAACTTGTGTGGTTGTATGTATGTGCAAAGGCAGAGTTATTTATGTCAAAATATTCTCAGGATTATTAGACATAGCATTGATGGCGTATGGCCTGCCTGTGGAAAACTATTTCATATCACAGTGTCTGAGAATACTGAACATAAAGCCTTTTAGTGTAAACACATTGCACCCTGTGTAGACAATGCTGTCTTCCACCTCCCTGCCTTAAACAGATTTTCCCTTGACTGTGGAGTCCCTTTTGTGGGTACAGCACTGGCAAAAATATGGCAGACTGACCCATGCAGCCCCAGGCAGGACTGGGGATCTCGTATTGCCCTGCAAGTAAAGAACCAGTAGCAGGAGGGGAATTGTGGTGTAAGTCCCGGGCTTGTAGCCGCACGTGCTCGGGAGCTGCCCTGGCCCATATCTGCAGGTCCCCTTTGCTTGGATTCCTTCTCCACAGCTGCCTTTTAAGAGCAGTGTCATGCTTTTGGCGTTGGTTGTCAATACTGGGTAAGTAGACCAAAGTGTAAGGCATGTCACCTTGGGTTTTTTTTTTGGGGCGTTAATTTTGAGTGTGTGATAGCCATTTGGAAACAGACTAATGTATGTAAGTATGCCTGCTGTTATTTGTAGTACAGCAGTTTCTAGAAAATTCCAGATTGGGATTGTTTCTGTTGAGAGGGTGTGCAACATGGTAAACACATGTAAAGGGCAAACGAAGGAAGGACACAGAAATACTGTGATTTGTCCAAGGTTACACAGTCACAGACATAATCAGGGCCGCAACCAAGGTATTCTGAGATTCAGTCCAGTGGTTTGTGCTGAATTCATTCACTCTAATAGGATTGCTTACATGCTTAAAGTAAAGCATGTGCTTAAGTGCTTTGCTGGATCAGGGCCATATTTGATAAGTTTTCAGTTCTGGTGTGAGAGTACATAAATCGACCCTGCATGTGTCTGGCTGGTGGTGGTGGTTTGAGATAATAGTGATGCACCTCTGCTTCATGGAATTGCACTGGGGAGATCATGCCTGTTTCTAGAAAATTCCTGGTGTGGTATACTGAAAAAAAAACCAACAAAACCCACCAAAAAGTAGTTATAAAAAATTCTGAAAGTTGAAAGAGACCAGCTGTTATAAACCATTCTGCTTCTGTTTTGAGCCCTTTTATTTTTCTGCAGATGGAGAATGATTTTGGACATTCTCTATAGTTTAGTTTTTTTCTAAACAAACATTTTCACTTACTGAGTAAATTACATGTCTTGTACTAAAAATATTTGGGGAGCTGCTATTCATCATAGCGAATACATTTTTATTATTATTAAAGGAACCATAATTCTTAAAATGCAATTTGAAAAAGGGAAAACTCCAAAACCTAAACGTGTACAGCTCAGTGCTTGAGTTACCATTATATTAAATTCCAGAATCCTTACTTCATTATTTAGCTGTCTGCATTCTATAATGTTTATCTCTTCTACACAGATTGTCCTTGAAGGATACAAATTTCAAACGTACATACCTTAATTTAGGCACTAGCATACATATGTGAATGTCAAAGCTTGATGTTTTTGGCTGAAATATTTTGCATTTTACAAGGGAAGCTCAGGAGGGTTATCTTGTTCTTCCAGAGGTAAAGCAAAGACAGCAGTAGTTTAGTAACGTGCTAAACTGGGGCGCTAAGTCATTTCTGTTAGTATGTGTTGTTAGGAAAAAATGGATTAAACTTATGCAAATGATTGAAAATTTCTCTTCTTGCAAATTTGGTGTGGCTATATGTATGCATAGGTTTCTCTTTCATATAACAGATGGTGAGAGGCAATGGGTGCATGTATGCTGGTGAGGTAGAAAGTGCTGTGCTCACTCATCATGCCCTGCATGTATGCTAGTTTACACTGGGGCTCTACTCTGCTACTTCCAGGGTAGCCTGTGATGACTGGAAGCTGATGGGTGCTGTGGTCACGCATGTACCCGCAGTCTGACCATGACAGAGGCAGCCCCAGGTGGTGGGACAGTGCCAGAGAGCACCAGAGAGGTCCCACAAGATATAAGGTAGAGATGTGCAAGCAGTGACACAAATACTGGTTTTGCTGGAGACAATTTAAGAAAGGGATTTGGAACTTTCTGTTGCAGTATCAACTCGGTAAACATCATTTTAGCCAGTATTTCCAGTTAATCTTCTTGCTGAACTGCTGCTTTCACAGAACAACCCTCCCCTGCCTCTGATGTCTTGAAATCTCAGGACTGTGCAGGCAGCTTGTGTGGGGAGCAAAATAGTTCCCACCGTACTTGGCTGTCCAGTCCAGCACTAAAGATGTTGAATATGTGATTCTCAGTACTTGGAAGCAGTACAATAATTGATGAGTATGT